TACATGGTAGTTGCCAGCATTAAAAACAAATCAGGACAAACAAAAAAACCCAATATGACTTCATAAACCAGATTTCAGTCTTACCTAGAAAATCAAGCTGACCAAACTGGGCTTTTGTTACATCATAACTAGCTGAAGCCAAGTAATACCTTCCCTCTTATTCCAGTATATGGGAACTCTAGTTTGCAATAACCTGTCATCACCCCATTTTTGTTTCCTTGACACTAAAACTAAATCCAAGTGTCACATGCCATCATGCTGTTCTGTTTTTCTTAGGCCTATATTGCTTCACTCATTACCTGCCTGCCTCCACATATATCAGATTGTTATATCTACCTTTATGTAAATTCTTACCCATTTCATCCAATTTCTCCATGTCCCGGATAATCTGTTTGGGATCCTTCATCTTCAAAACTGCAGCTCGTACCATCATGCGCTGTTTTTTGTTCTTAGAAAAATAAAAGAGCAGAATGTCAAGAAGCTGGACACTCATGAGTTTTTATTTTAATCTTCCTTAAGAATCTATTTAAGCTGAATTTTGAACTTCTCCCTGGTTTCTGATAACTTGTAACCACCAGAAACAAAGATATGTAATTTCTTGCTCTCAAAAATGTTTAGACTTTAGTAAATAAAATAAAGACATGTTAATTATTAGATATGTTTTCTTAAAGTATTTCTTTTAACCCTGTGAGATCTTTAGCAGTTAAACAAAAAACACTGTAAGTTTCTTTAAAAAAAAAAAGGTACAAACGTTGCAATTAAATTCTAAAATTATATTAGAATAAAATATTGCAGGATTTTATGCTAAACAATCAAACAAAACAATTGAAAATTATTAAATATCTAAGTTTTCAATGTGTTAAAGCATGATCCATCCTATAAAGTAAATCCTTTCTTATTCTGTTGAAGTATTTTGCCACAAACAATAGCTAACTAGTCAGGAAAACGAACATACAAAGCTATTACTATCTAGTGTCACATTTATTTCCAGTCTCTAATTCATTACCTTTTAAAGCAGTTATGTTTTGACAAACAGCAATAAAAAGAAGTTTAAAAGTATATTTTCACTCACTGGTAAAGGTAGTCAAATAAGGCCATTATAACCGGTTATAAACCTATTTACTAAGTTATTTTGGCTCAGTTTCTAAGTATGGTAATTTTTGGCTTAGAAAATTTTATGGTTTTTATAAGAAGCATAAACTATCTTTTCTGGAAAATAACTGGAAATGCTATTTTGAAATCCACGAATCCCAAATCACAAGATGTGCCAAACACCACGTGAAATTACCAATGATGCTTTTGAAATCATACCTTCTTTAATTCTCTTTTCCGGGCTTCCTTTCCTTAAAAGGGAGAGAGGGAGAGATAATAAAACTTTCAAATCTTGAACATTAGCATTTTCTCCAACTCAATATAGATAATATTTAGCAGCATCCTTGGCCTTTCTACCCACTAGATGTTAATTGCATCCCTCTAATCATGGCAACCAAAAATGTCAAAACATTTTTATGTTTCTTCAAAAATAACTAAGAATCGGAAGGAAAAAGATAACATAAAATACTAAACAAGAGCTTATAAAACTAATTTGTTCAAAATTCAAGACCACAAAAGAAAGTTTTAAGCCAATTTCACTTTTCAAGTCAATCAAAAAATAAGAGTACTAATTTCTTTCCATGTTAAAATTCTAATCATGCGCCCATAAGAACACTGGATAACTTTACACAATTTACTCTTCCTATCACTGCTGATCTTACAATTAAGCAGAATGAAATAGATTCCCTACTATTTGCAATTTTTAATACTCCTCTACTTTATTATTCCACGCTAATGGACACTTACGAGCTTGGTCTGTAGGGTTCATAAATTTTCCACTCTTGGTGGATGATGTAGATCTCCGTCCCATGTTGACAATCTGTGTGGTTTACTTGTTCATTAAAAGAAAACAAAAAACCTGGGAAGATGAAGAAATAGCTTATATTTCTTATAACATTTTTTCTTTTTTAGAGTCCCTACCAATCTTCTGAAAAGAAACACTCCATTAATTCTTGATTTAGTGAGACTTTGTTCTTTCCTTAGGTGTTTTATTTTTCTTTTTTCTTTTTGAGACGGGGTCTCACTATGTTGCTCAGGCTGGTCTCAAGCCATCCTCCCACCTTGGCCTCCCAAGTAGCTGAGATTACAGGTGTGCACCACTGTGCCTGGCTTCTTTCCTTAATTTTGATCTTAGTATCCAAGAAAGAGGGCCTCAACTTTCTTGACCATAAACAATTAGATCTCTATTATTCTTTAGAAACATAACAGGTATGAAGATCACTTTAAATATCATTGAATCATCAATTTAACTTTTTCCTTATGGGATCACAGCACTGACTGTCAACTGAAAAAATCAACTAAAAATGCTTTTTAACAGTAGGGCACAAACCATAAACAGGACAAGCCATTAGTCCTTTTTCTACATTCTCCCTTTCTTCACATGCAGAGTAAAAGATGAATCAAAAGGGTATGGGGGTAATAGATATGAGCTCAAAGACGAATAGCCCACCCTTGCCACTATCCATGGTTTTACTTGTCATGTACCTACACATTTCCAACGCTTGTGAGACAGTAAAAACTCATTAATTTAACTATATTTTATTCTAATTCAGATATAATTCCTGAATCTCAAGAGCTCAAAACATAACTAAAAATGTCAACATTCGAAATTAGAACCGTATTAAGAGACCTCTCCAAAACTTTTTTTTTTTTGAGACTGAGTCTCACTCTGTTGCCCGGCTAAGTGCCCTGGCATCAGCCTAGCTCACAGCAACCTCAAACTCCCGCGCTCAACCAATCCTCCTGCCTCAGCCTCCTGAGTAGCTGGGACTACAGGCATGCGCCACCATGCCCGGATAATTTTTTCTATATATTTTTAGCTGTCCAAATAATTTCCTTCTATTTTTAGTAGAGATGGGTCTCGTTCTTGCTCAGGCTGGTCTCGAACTCCTGAGCTCAAATAATTCTGTCGCCTCGGCCTCCGAGAGTGCTAGGATTTTTTAAGACTCAGATATATATTTTTCTTACTAGTACTTAACTCCTGATTTGCATTTTTTTGAGGTAACTAAAGGGAATAGTTGTGTTTGAGGGAAAATATTTTGTAACCTAAAACTTTTATTAACATTATACATTATTACATGACTTCTTGCTCTTACTCCAAAAGGAGGAGGCTTAACTTTTTGAAACCCAGTCTTTCCAATAACAAAGGTTGACAAATTTGTTTCCTTTTGAAAGCAGACACCTTTTTAATGGTGAGAAGGGAAGATTATGAAGTAAATCTTTTGGTAGACCATACAATTATATCTTTCCTTCTCCCTTTTATGAAGATTTAGTCAGACGAGTTTATTAATGTATCTTTCACCAAGTGTTCAACTGGCCCGATTTCTACTACATGTTTCAGAGTTGTTCCAGTGGCTGTTATTGTATTTTACCCTGTCAAGTGCCTCCTTCTCAGAAAACAGGGGGTTGGGGAGAAGGGAGTAGGGGGTAAAAAAGGGTGGGAACGAGCAAACTGCAAACTCAGTACAAATACAAACTCCTCTATCTTTGATTGCCTGTGTCTTTTGTGCTTTCCTGTCTCAATTCTCCTCACGCTCATATTTTGACCCTTCTCTCACAGCGCAAACACAGAACAGATACGAATTACAGAGAATTTTACAGAAGACACTGGAGCCCTAGGCTACACAAACTACTTCTTTGCCTAAAAGCAGAGGCGAGCGAAAAATCAAGCAAAAAAACCGTTGTGGAACTCTAAATAGCCAAAGAAGCTTCAGTGGGACAGGGTCCAGGTCCACGAAAGGAGGCAACAGCAGCAACTGCCGAAACCATAACGACGGTTGACCCTGACTCGAGGTACAAGACGTCAAAACCAAGGCTACCACTCAACGTGCATAGGAGGCGGTCCTAACCGACCCAGGCGAGCCAGCCGCGCAAACCCCTGGAAGCCTCGCCGCCCCAGGCTCAGGGATACCCCAGTCTGCGATCCAGGAGACCTCAACCGGGGAAAGGAAGAGCGGGGCAAAGAGGCCTGGTGTCCCCAAGGCAAACGCGCAGGCCCCGGGAAGGGACGAGAGAGATGAAGAAACGGAGTAAAGCAATTCCGTACACTCACACTTCTGCTGGGCTCCCAGAGCTGTGAGAAGCAAGGAGGGGACGACTCCCAGCCTCTTTTACTTTTTAGGGCCTTCAAGTCAGCCTCTCGGTCAACCAACAAGCCACCGCCATCTTGAAACCTCGCGCCCCTCCGCAATCCCTACGTCATTTCCTATCCCCTGCGCCGGCGGTCTCCGCGTTGCTAGGCCCTGGAACCATAGAGAGCACCCAAGAACTCCAAGACCAGAGTCTTTTCCGCTCCGTTACAATATCTAATTGGTTGAGTATTGAGAGCCCGCCCCATTAAGCATAAAGACGCCACGTCGATTGACACTTATCTAATCCAATAGAAATAATTAGAAGAAAGCCGCTCTCTGATTGGCTGGCTGCCCCGCTTCTCCGGTTGGAGGCGTTCTGACCCGGTTTCCGGGAGCCCAGAATATTTAGATGGCGGGGCAGGTAAATTCGGAAGATAACAGAACTGTTTTGCGTCGTTTCTCTGCCCTGGAATTGTGTTAGTTTTTGGGTTTTCATGTTTCGTATGACGTAGGCGGGTACGATCCTTTGGCACCGTCTCCGTTGGGAAACAGGTGTCCATATAACACTTTCCCCCTGAGTTTAATGCGCTTTGCAAGCATCAATTTACCCCACGTGGGCGCTTGGTGCCTGTGGAAATTTAATAGCGGTTCCTAGACACACAGAACATTTGTAGACCTAAAAAATAGGTCAGGGCCCATGTTAGAGTCCCAAATTGCTAATTTACAGGAGTGAGTTTTTTTGGTTTTGAAGAGGAAATGTAGGGATACACAGTTTTAAATTTATGGGTGGTAAGGTCGATAAACATTGGCTCAATTCCCGACTCGTCTTCAACACCACACAAAACTCCTTTGTGATGTCACTACACGAACGGAATTACTCACTTAGCTGGTCTTCGTCTTTCCCTTACCTTCTGTCTCCTTCCCCAAGACACTTCCCCCATCTTTTCCCCTTAAAGGTAAGTTTAAATATTTTAAACATTCAGCGCTTAAAGGACACTCCTGGTTATTTCTGATCTTAATCTGAGTATATCCCTTATAGGAAAAACAGTTTGAAATAGGCCCATTCTTAATATCAACTATAAATACTTAAAAATATTGGTCGGGGTAGATGTTAATTTTGAGCAGAATATTTGTGTGCCCTTAACGGTATAAAATTGGTCCCATACTTAAACTAACCTTTGTCTTAGTAAATTCTTGATTTGATTTTAGACTGAATTTGAGTCTCAGAAAGTAATAAAAAGATCTTGCAGGTTAAACATCATAAACCAGTAATAAAGAAAATAAGATTTAATTTTGAAGGTGAACTAAATTTTGATGTTTTGCAACTAAAACAAGCAATGCTAGAAGAGAAAGAAAAAGTGAAGAGTACATTGGAAAAATTAAAGTCTTTCATATAGCTAATATTTTTCACCTAGGTAGTTAAGATTTTTTAGATATGATGAGCAGTTTTTATTTCTTGTACTTGGATGCAAGAATCAACTATAACAAACACATTCTTACATCAACAGCATATTAATAATTTTGTACATGTGCACTAAAAGAGTCCCGCTGGGAATTATTCATTAGTGATGGATTTAGGAAACAAACACTTGCATCTCCAGAGATTCAGCTGAATCATTAGGACTCCATACCCCCTGGATTTTTCTGAAATTAGGTAATTAGAGAAATGGACTGACTACCTAATGCTTCATGTAAAAATAGCTGCCACCTTTTTGCTAGTATTGAAAATGAAATTATATTCTCTTTTTTCTGAAAATTGATAATGTAATAAATTATGACTTTCCTTTAAATGACAAATTCTTAAAGAGTTCTATTCTACATCCTAAATGCATTTTACACATGTATAGCTGTGGTTTCCTGGCTTGTTTTTTACATGTTCCAGAGTGTAGAAACATTCACTTAAGTGATATTTAACCATCACAGTTGGTCAAAGTTGATTGTAATTATAGAAACAGAACCTTTATCTTTTTAGCTTTAACTTTTGCCTTTTAAAAATCCATCCATATTACATTGTATGATTAGTAAAAGTTTACAGATCCATTGCTTCCTTTCATCATTGAAGGAAATTGTTACAAACCATTTTTCAGTCTTCTCCCGTTTACAGAAAATTGGATTTAATCTGATGGTCAAAAATATGATAGTATTTCTATTCCATTTGCGGGCCCAGAGATTGTGTCCAGGCAGAATTTGCTAAGTAGTCCCTGAGAACTAAATGATATTTGAAGCTAGTGGTAGAAATGAAAGTCTCTGTATTCAGTGTAAATTTTAAGGATTTTGGCTGGAAATTAGAAAAGGAAACGGTAACCCCTATACTTGCTTCTCTACAATGGCATTTGCGCCAGTGTTGATCTGGGAGAACAGGGTAAGAAAACATCCTAGGATGTAATTTTTTACTACTCAGGAGTAGCACCAACTATCCAGGCATTTATTGTTGGTCCAAAACACAAAAGACGTCTACTTTTGGCATCTTCAATTCCCCTTTCAAAATTGTTTACCCTATTTAAGTCCCTATTAGAAGCGTATAGAAAATGAGCCTAATCAAAGAAGCAAACACAATTATTGAGAGGGAAGCAGAAAAATATTCCAGGGGCAGATAAAATGTTCATTTCATTTGGTGTTTCACTGTATTAGAGACCTCAGTAATGGCATGATGATATTTTTCTGAGGCTGACTGGAACTCCACCAGATGCTTCTCATAACTTTTGATGGCTGCTTGAAGCTGCGTTTTCTCTACTGCTCCCAGGATGGCACGGAAGATCATATCTATGCCAAGGCCAAGAACGGCAACTCCAATACTACCAAGGAGAGAAGCACCAATTTGAGCTAACACAGTGACCAACTTGTTAATTATGCCAGTTGTGACATTTGAGCCTACAAGTTTAACAGCCACTGCACTGGCTGCAGATGTTGCTTCTCCTAGAATGACTGAGATCACCTTTTGTACTATCGCAATTTTCTCTGTTTCCCTTTCCTTAATATCCTGAAGTTTTCTGTAAAGCGTTGGCTCTAGTTTGTCTTTTAGTGCTTCATCAACCTTTTGCAGTTCCTTTTGGATTTCCATAATGGCTTGGATGATGATATCGCAGTTTTCTTTGATGGTCCCCTCTCTTCTCATCTCAATGGAGGGCAGCCTGCACCCCAAGTGCATATTTAGAACCCCAGTCAACTTATTGGTGACATGGAAGCTGTCAGATAAGCAGTCAAGGAGCTGCTGGTGAAGACGGTTTACTTCCTGCCGCCTCTTTGGGTTCTCTGGGTAGAGGAAGTCACTATGAGCCATAGTTCAAATGTGATCTCTGAAAAATAAAATAGTAAATCTTCACTTAAAGTCTTGAAAAATATCTGCTAACTGTGTAGATTTGACTAGGAAATCTTTTGCTTCATGCATAGCAAAGTAGTAATATGTTATTTAGGGAATTCCTCAGAAAACGCAACATCTTCTTTATTTTTATTTTTTGTAGAGACAGGATCTTGCCATGTTACCCAGGCTGCTCTTGAACTCTTGGGCTCAAGCAGTCCTCCTACCTCTGCCTCCCAAAGTGCTGGGATTACAGGCATGATCCACCACACCTGCTCAAAATAAATTTCCATTGTTTTTTCCTTTTTTTTTTAAACACGGAGTCACCCAGGCTGGAATGCAGTGGCATGATCATAGCTCACTGCAGCCTCGAACTCCTGGGCTCAAGTGATCCTCTCACATCAGCCTTCTGAGTAGCTGGGATTACATGAGTGAGCCATCACACACTTCTCCAGGTTCTTTAAAACAGTTGTTTTTATGAAACTTGGAGTTAGCATGTGGAAAATGTGGGTAACAATATAATCCATTGATGCATAAGTTATTGGATTTTTTGGTGATGGGAAATCTTAGGAAATATTCATGTTTATCAAGCATCTGGTTATTAATAAATAAACATGATTATTTTCAGGTGATATTTAATAACTTTTATTTGAAACAGACCCCAAATTTGAAATGGTTAGCTCTTGATTACCAGTGTTCCTTAATTTCCTCAACTCCTGGTCACCACATTGAATATACCTGCCAGACTGACTTATCTATAACTACTAAATTAGTAGTTAGGGCTAGAAGAGTATTAAAATCTATGAATTTTTAGGGCTATTTTTTGTGTTTATATACTTGGTTACCTTAATTTAAAATATTCAAATCACTATATCTCTTTACAGGCAAATTATTTATTTTCTGAACCTAAGGGACATCCAAAGCAGTACACATATAATATTAGAATCTTTTAAAACAATTTCTCCTGATAAGGGAATATATTCAAGACTCTTCAGATAAAATTTCATTTGGGATGAAGATGGGCATTGTACAGGGGACAGTGCAGTGAGGAATACCTGTGTGATTCTCCATTTGCACAACTTATAAATTCAGTTATCTAGAATGATCTATATTGTGCTAGAGTTAGTGTCAGGAAGAAAATAACACCATTTTATTATATGAAAATATTAATAAGTAGTGAGAATACACCATAAATTGAATAAAATAAACCCAATAGGAGACTTTCTGTGTTTGTACTTCTGGCCTACAGTACCATTTAGAGAACAAAGGAAGTCATGCTCTTCAGAGTTTATTTGGGTGAAAAAATCTAAATTTGAACCCAGCAAAAACAATGTTACTCCATATGCATATCTTGAGACAACTTCCTGTGTCCCTGGAAGTTTTATTTTTCTATTAAAGTCTTGGGAGAAAAGAAAGAAAAAATGGAGTCCTCTATCTATACCAGTGATGGATCTGATCTGGAGCATTATTTTTTTGAGTCATCAACATCCTGATTAATTTGGGTCCTATGTCTTCTAGCACCATGGTTCTTAGTGTGGATGCGGGGAATCTCAGAAGTATGGGAAGCGGGAATGAAGATGTTTTGCTCTCAAGAAAGTAAACATGAAAATAACCTATCCCGCAAGTCATACAGATATAATTTGGAAATGGAAAATTTTTGTAAAATGGATTAGTACTATAAATAACCATTTATGTTGTTAGATTTAGAAAAATGCACTGGAAACTCCTGATAGAATAAACTACCATGGTCAGAAATTTCTTTTTATCTTTGATTTGGATCCACAGCGTGCGAGCACACACACACACACACACACACACACACACACAGACACGTGTGACAGACACAAATTGCCACAAAATGATACTTAGAAAATTTTCTACTCCAATTCCATTTAAGGAAATTGCTCATTGAGGATCTATTAAATATTCCACAAACTCATTAATGGGTTGCAAACTGCAATTTGATAAGCACACATTTGGACTTTGGATTTTCTTTTTTCTTCTAGGAATTTCTCATTAAACATTTGTCTTTTTTTTTTTTTTCTTTTTGGCTCCTGGTTTTCAGATCTTATGAAAACTCCAGTTTCTGACTTCGAATTCAGAAGATAATCAACTATATCTCTATTCAGATATTTAAGCGAGAGGCCTCTTTCTTATCCTGAAAAAAAAGGAAAATAGCTCTAGCAGTTATCATACACCATTATATGAGGGCATAGTTTCCAGAAAAGGTGTGAGGTTCTTTCTACCTTAAGATAAACAAATGGAGAAATGAACCTTTCTCCTGGATGGAAAGTGGAATGCTTCTAAGTGGTCGGCTCCTTTTCTGTTAACTCATTGTTCTATCACATCTTCGCAAATTAATCATAAAATGTCTATCTGAAAGACTAAGCAGGTAAGACTACTTATTTTTTCAGGAAAAGAAATGATGGGACTCCCTCCCATATTAAAACACCATGAGAACACAATATTAAACAGTACTGCACAGTGCAAGAGTAGATGGATTCATGGAAAAAATTAGTCCCTAAAACAGACCCTTCTGTCTGTTTAATAATAATAAATGTAGAATTTCACATCAATAATAATTGAAATTATTACTCCATAAATGGTCCTGGCATAATGGGCTAGTCTTTGGAATTAAAAGTTAACAAAAAATGTATTAATGTAATATATGTAAAAATCAAATAATAAATTAGAGGAAAACACAATTTCCAAACGTCTGTCTGAAGGAGGATTTTATAAGCCTAAAACCAATGGAAAAAAGTTACATGCAAAAATTTAAGTAATAAAGATGGCAATGTAGAAAGAACTGAAAGCAAGCTGGGAAAAATACAAGAAAAAAGTATTAATTTCTAAAGAGTATTATTATTAATAATAAAAACAGTAATAATCTAATACCTAAAAAAGCAAACACCCCTAAGCAGACAGTAAGAAAAGAAATAGTAGCTAGTCAAATGATGAGGAAAGTTCAGTCTTACCAGAAATCAAAAAAAGATCTAGTATGTTTTAAACTATAAAAGTGACATTTCCCCTGGACTTTAAATACTCATGCCTCTGCACTTGTACTCTTATACTCTTCTTTGTGGGAGAAGACATCAGTCTATGATTTTGTTCCAATAACAAGTTTGAGTAAGAGACATCATAATGTGCTCAGAATTATTTTTCCCTTTTAATGCAAAGGGATTTTTCTTTTTCTGAGTCAGGCTTACTTTCCTAGTTTTTATCCCTTGTAGGGGAGGATGGGAAAGGTTTCTTATGCAAACAGATCTTCAGCTGCCCTGCCATCATACCTGCTCAGGTATGTCTGAGCTCTAGTATTGAATACAGTTCAAGGTATTTCCACCCCCCAAAGGAGATAAGAAGTACTGGAGAATTTGGAAGAGGAGAGGTGAGGACTGAAGGTACCATTGAATTGTATTTGGGGCAGGTGAAGTTTGAAAAGCCTGGCGAAGAAAGCAAGTATTAATCCAGTAACAATTTATCTAATAGGCCGGTACTTCACTTTGTGTAAGGTTGTATGCTAGCACCACTCTGTAAAGCACACTGAGATGAAAAAGACAAAAGTCCCTGCGTTTTTGGAATTTCTAATTTAGCTAGGGAGTTAAGACAGATTTATAACTACAATGTTAAGTTGAAAGTAATATAAAAAATTATAGGTACATTTGGTATTTGAGTCATGCAAATTCAAATTTTAAATAATACACAATACTAATATATATTGACACTGTGGCCATATGGAGGCATTTGATTATCCAGAGATGGTTAGTAATTGTACCCTTTCAAATTGATACTCTTAAAAATGTGCTTGATAGTTAAGGAGATGTTAAACAGCACATGAACCATAGTTGGCAATGTGCAGTATTTCCACTATTGCCCTTAACAATTTAGTTCTGACTCCCAGAGTGATGAGTCCACTTGGCAAAACAAAAGTCCTACAGTTCATCAGAGTCACCCTTCTTAAAGATCATAGTTGTTACTCAGGCATGCTTCAAGTGATATCTTACAAACAATATCTACATATCTATACCTTCTCTGAGAGGAATTCTGGGTCATATACGTTTTCCCGTATTATCCCATTTTTGTGATGACCCGGTGACGTTTATAGATTGTGGCACCAGCAAGGAGCTAAGTGGTAGGTTTAGTCTTGCTCTGATTAACTACACCTTCTTGTATGGCAAATTTGAACTTTACGTAATTTGACTTATCACATGATCATGCTCCCCGTCAGTGAAAAGTTCTATTTAAGGAGTTACCATTCGCTTCTGTACAGAGTTTGTGCTATTTACTTGCAGCATGTTTTATTGTAGTGGTCCATTAAGCAGGTTCTAAAGAGCCTGGAGCAGCCCGATGGGGAATTTCTAGCCAGCAGGTGGAGCTCCTGAGCCCTGGGAGTCCTATTCCACCCAAGCCCTTGCTGGAGCAGTTGTGCTTTCTCTGGTTCTACAAGTATGGGCTCTGGGTGGGTATAATTTTGTTTGATGAGAGAGTTCTGTTGCTAAAACAAAGCTTAGAAATATCTGACTTGTTATTTCATAAAAATGACAAGAAAAATACATCTGGAAGTGCCATTACTAGTGATCAGCCCATCTTAGGAAATTCAAATGGAAACCAAGATGAGCTTGAGATGAATGTTTATCGAACCTAATCTCCTCAATTTTCCTGAACTGAGAAGTAAACATTCAAGATTAAAGTGCATATAAGATATGGTAGAAATATATTAATGATTGTATTTAAAAGTTAATGTTTAGTTAGAGATATTATACAGTTGTTTCAGTTTTTCCAGGAAAGGAACCACTTTACAAAAGGAAAATGGATTGTCATATATTCAAACAAAACTTTTCAGGCTTCTTTAATGAATAACAGTAGTGCACTGACTGTCAAGTACTATAGAAATTTAAAGAGAAACTAATATCGAGGTGATTAGAAAAAGCTTCATGGAGAAAGCAACATGATTTATGTTTTGATAGATTGTAGAATTATAACATGGAGAAAAAAATGAAAAGGTTGTTAAAACAAAGTATTTTAAATACAAAGTCATTATCACTAATACATAAAGGTTTTAAAATAGAGGAGGAAGCCTACTATCTTAATTGTTTTTGTTTTTATTATCTTTCTAAATTTTTATATGTATAAGTATCTTTACAAAGTTGTAATAATAGTGTCAATAAAATTCATCTTACATTAATTCACTTAACACTTGCCTATATTTCTAGTTTTATAAGTGTTTTATTGGTTATATAAACTATTCTACATCTTTACCATGATTTAGTAAGTCCCTAATTGTTTCTTTATCACAATGTTCTAATGAACATTTTGAGATAGACAGATGTTTTCCCCCCTCCATCATCTGGATTAATAGGTAGAAGAATTATGTAACTAAAGGTAATTAAATGTTTTATTACTTTTGATATATATTGCAAACCGCATTCTAAAAGCTTTTATCCTGCCACCAAAAATACATTTTCGTAGCAGAATACTGGGTATCTTTGAAAGTCAAATACGGTCCTGTTTAAATATTGTTGATGTGGGCAGCATAAGGTTAAATTTTCAACGAGAGGAGCTCTTAGTTCTTGCCTTTTTAGAAATACCTACTGAAAATGTTAAAGATGAAATGATACCATCTCTGAGATTTGCTTCCAAATAATCTGAAAGGAGTAGTAGGGTAGGGTTATGGAGGAAATAAGATTGGCCTTGTTTTGATAATTTTTAAAGCTGGATTATGGGTACATAGGAATTTATTATATTATTGTCTCCACTTTTGTGCATGGTTGAACTTTTCTCATAATCACAAAAAAAAAGAAAGAAAAACAAAAACATGACCCTGTCTGAATTTCTGGTGTTTAGTCATGATGCTCTCCGAGGCTTTACGGTTCTTTCTGCTCTCACTTTTCCTCACTGTCCAAATTGTGTCCTGCTGTCACGCAGCTCATTTGGGAGTATGGAAAATAGGGAATAGGTAAAGGCGGGAGCCTCTCAGGAGAAACATAACAGCTACTAACTAGTTCTGAGCCTTCTTAAATTCAAATCAAAACCATGGCCTTTCATTTAGAAAAAAGTTGATCATGATGTGATGATACATTTCCTGATGTCAATTCTTTTAAAGAATATTTCTGACCAGAGTGCAGAATATCAAGGTCATTCATCAATATTTATTAATACTCACTTGTGAAGCCTGCACTATACATCTTGAGGCATTTGGGAAAACAAATAGACAATATTCCTTGCTCTCAAGAAAATAATAGTTTATTTGGAGACATGCAGCAAATGCCCAGTGGTTTTTTTTTTAATATGATGTAACTTAGAAGGAGTGTAAGGAATATATATTAACTAGTGTTAGACTGCATGTTCATTCTTTCACAAATAGATATTGAATGCCTATATCAATGTTAATGATGGAAGGAAATGTTACCATCCATATAAACAACACATTCATATGGGTGTCATTTTATCCTTAATTCTCTCTAAAATCGATGTCTTTACTGCTTCCCTTCTCCTCTGATTTAATCAGACCTAGAGGTTGTTAATCTTCTTTCTTCCTTGGTGTCTTCAGAGAAACAATCACAAGGAACATGTCGTGGGATCCTCTTATAACAAAACAGTTTTGTTACTTTATTTATGGCTGGGATTCAAGACACATGCTATTTCAAATTCCCTTTGCTATTGAGAAACAAAGCATGATATTAATACTAGTGGAAATATCCATATTGCTTACCTTGCTGTGTCTGTGAGTTCTGTAGTCCCAGCAGTTGTTTAGGAGTTGTTGAAGTGCTTTTTCATCTGGTTTTATCTGGATATTTCTGATGGAATGTGATGACTTGCAGGCTTTGCTGGTCTCTGCTGGGTCCCTCTGCCTGTCTGTTTTATAGGTTATTTCTGCATGGATTAGTCCTCAGAATTCTTCTATTTCCTATATTAATATAAACTTGGTATATATGTTTAAGTAATATAATTTGAAAGACTAATAATGTGGTAAAACATATTTTTAATTTCCTGTTCTCTAATGAACTTTTTATTGTTAAAAAGTGCTATACAACTGAACTAATTCAATTCAGTAGAGAAAATGGCTCTTTGATTGCAGCTCTCATATTTTGGGATTTTATCTTGTCAACTCTTCCAGACATTGTTTCCTTTAGCTTCTGTTACATTTGTACCTCTAACTGTTGCTAATTGCTTTGTTTAGTTTCTCAAGAGATATAAATCCAGATATTTGCAGCCAAATGTTTTATTTTTTGCTCTTCTTTTCAGCTGGGAGCTCTACTCTTTATCATTACCTCTATCTTGTCTTAGTGAATTGTCTTGACAACATAAAAACCTTAAGGACCAACTTGACTCCTTTCCCTTAAAGCTCAGATCAGAGTCTTCCATGCTTCCTCCTCTGGATTCTGCCCTAATCCTGATCGATTCCTCGACAGCAAAGACACTCAGAATCAGGGGAATCATTCAGCCTCAGTACGACTTAGTTGAAAGACCACAGACTTTACAATAAGACAGCCCTGGTTTTGTGTACCCAAAGTGCCACTTACTAGTCATGTAACCCTGGAAAAGTCACTTAACCTAAGTTTTTCCATTAGTGTAATGTGAGTGTTAATACATAAGCCATGGATTGTCATAAGGGTTAAATGAGATAATGCACGTAAAGCACTTGGCATTCTGGCGGATGTATGGCAACATCATTTTTGTGTGTGTGTGTGGTTGAATTGATCTTATTTTATTATTATTATTTTTTAAATATTTATTTTTTTAATTTAGCATATTATGGGGGTACAAGTGTTAAGGTTACTTATATTGCCCATGCCCCCCTCCCTCTCGAGTAAGAGCTTCAAGCATGTCCATCCCCCAACCGTTATGGCAACATCTTATGAAATGGTAGCTATTCTTCTTATATTAACAGCAGTATCTCCTTGTGTGGGTGAGGAGGTCGTGGGTGGGTAGAGGGTACGGGACCAAGATGCCAGACAGGTGACTTGTAAAATCTAAATGAGCTTCCCTGTGGTTTCAAAGAAGGGCTAAGGGGGGCAATTTTTTACTTTTAGCCCAGTGCGTCATTTTGCACTTGATGTATCCTGGGGCCCCACTGTGTAGGGTTGTGTGGCCAGTGTATCTGAGCTAGGTATGGATGAAACATAGGATTTCAACAGATGTGTGTGTGTGGAGTGAGGTATTGGAGGAGATAAAGCAGATGGAAGGAGCACAGAGAGCGAAGCAGCTGAACCAAAAGTTATCGAGCATTTTCAGGGAACAAAGTTAATCCACTGTGCCGGTGATACAGGATATACATACAAGAGCAGTTAAGGGAAGGTAAATAGTGGAAAATTGAGAGCAGTTTGCCTTAAATGCCATGCTAAGAAATTGTATTTTATTCTGTAGGTAATATTGAAGGTTTTTTATTATTATTATGGGGTAATATTCATAGATTTGGATTTGAAGAAGGTCACTTTTATATAAACTAGATTAGTGGGTATGGAGAATAAAGCATGGATCACCAATCCAGTGTCCACGGTAGCTGGATGAGAGATGTCAGTCACCCTATCTTAAAACAGTTGTATTTCATTTCTGAAGAGAGTATTGTTAAGGAGTGCCATTTAACCCACTTGTTCCTAAATTGGTGTTTGTTTCTCTTGTGTTTCTGTTTCTGCCCCTCTTAACATTTCCTGCCTACTCAGCCGCTCATTTCTCTCCCACCACGTAGCAGCCTGATGGGACTTGCCATAACTGAGATACAAACAGAAACAATGCAAACAAGCTGGGCACATTGTGCTAGTCCCCTTTTCAGAGTCATCAGAGAAAAACTAGAAATAGTATTGACTTTATAAGAAGCCTCTTTATTATAAAGATAACCAACTTGAACTTCTTAAATGCTCCTTGACTAAAGTCAGTATTGGTGTCAAACCAATAGTCAGGACTGAACCTTAAGCAGGAGGCAAATTTTTCTAGGGTAGGTCTTGGAGTCGGGGTGGTGGCAGAGAATCAGGATGGCTGATTTGACAAGTTTGACTGCTGGGTTGAGGGTGGTGGTGAAGAGTGGAAGGTCAATGATGTCTCCAAATTTATCTGCATTTAACTTCTCTTTTGATGGTTTCTTTCATGTAGAATGCTTTCCTCCCCCCTTTATTCTAAAGCTCACTCCTTCTTTTCCTGAAAAACTCTACTCAAAAAACCATATATTGCATGACTCTTTCCAAGAATAATCTGCCTGGTTCAGTTATAATTGTTTCAGCAACTCACCAGCACTTATGAATATCGCATTTAAAAAAAGTCAAACAAACCTAAAAAAAAAAATCAACTTTTTGACCCTATAGCTTCTCTTCTCTCTCCTCTTCACAGTCAGACTTCCCACTTGGGAAGTGTGCATGTACCGTCTTGACTTCATTTTCTCCATTAATTTTTCAATATTTGTTACCTAGCTTCTGTACATATTCCCACCTCTTGCAAAATTGCTCTGTAGCATCACCAATGGCATTGTAATGACTAAACTTAATGACTAATGTACAGCATTCATCTTATTTGCAGCATTTGCCGTTGTTGGCCAGTTCTTACTTTAAACCGTCTTCTCTTAGAGAAGTATGATTCCATTGGGTTTCCTGTCTTTTCAAACATTCCTTCAATTTCTATATGGGCTCTTCTTCATTCATATGCTTGTTAAGTATTTATGCTCTCTTGGTTTCCATGTTTAGCTCTTTTTTTACTCCATATATTCTCCCTGGGCAATTTCATTTAATTTCATGGTTCTGTTACCACTTGGTTGTTGATGTATCCCAAATATATAGCTGCTATTCAATAATTTTTCCTGTACTCCCAGTACCTATCTCTAACCAGCCTTCTAGACATCTCTATGTGGATGGCTATAGTACCTCAAAAAGTTAGAATAAGATGTATTTTATTATCTTGAGCTGCCAATCCACTCATCCACTATGTCTTAATTTTTGCAAATCGACTTTTCACATATGCTTACAAAAATATGACAAAGATTCCTTGTATACTTTTCCCAGATTCTCCTGATGGTAATATCTTGCAAATCTATGGTACACCACATCCAGAATATTCACTTTGATATAGTCCACTAATCTACTCAGATTTCTTCAGATTTACTTATACTAATTTGTGTTAATATTAAATTCTACACAATTTTGTCACCTGTGGAAGTTTATGTTTCCGCCCCCATAGTCAAGTTACTGAACATTATAACACTCAAGGATCCCTGGACACAAGTCTTTTGTCAGAAGTGTGTTTGCAGTGTTTTCTCCCAGGTTATGAGTTGGCTTATTGTTCTGGGTAGGGCAACATTGCAGAGCAAATATTTTTAATTTTGGTGGAGTCCAGCTTATCATTTTTTTAAATTCATGTGCTTTGGTGTCATAGCAAATAAATTGTTGGCTAACCAAAAGTTAGACACTTTTCTCCTGCATTTTCTTCTAAGAGTTTTATGGCTTTATATTTTTATATTTATGCCTATGTTCCATTTTGAGTTAATTTTCATATATATAACATAAATCAAGTTTCATAGTTTTACATATAGATATCTGGTTGTTGTAGCATAGTTTTTTGAAAAATACCTAAACTTTCTCTATTAAATTACTTTTATATCTTTGTTAAAAATAAATTGACCACATTTGTGGGTCTATTTATAGACTTTTCATTCCATTATGTTGGTCTACACATCACCAATACCACACTGTCTTGACTAGTATGGTTTTATAGTATCTCTTAATATTAGTGTGAGTCCTTCAACTTTGTTCCTTTTAAAAATTTTGTTTATTCCTGTTCCTTCACATTTTCACATATATTTTAGAATTCATTTTTCTGTATCTATAAAGAAACTTGATGGCATTTTGATTATAATTGCATTAACTCTATGGATCACTTTGGGAACAATTGACATCTTAATTACATAGAGTATTCCAATTTATGGAGAGAGTTTGAATTGACATCTTTACTAAATAAAATCTTAATCCATGGGCAAGGTTTTTTTCTCCATTTATTTAGGTTTTCTTTGATTTTTTTTACTTTAGAATTTCATATATTTTTGAATCTTAGTATACCGATTATGCACATATTTTTTAGATTTGTACCTAAGTATTTTACTGAGAGGGTGTTATAAATGATACTTATAAAATGATTGGTTTCCTATTATCCATTCCTAGTGAATAGTAATATAATGGATATTCATATATTGATCTTGTATCTGATAAATTTACTTATAGCTCTAAGAACTTTTGTGTAAATTCCTTGGGATTTTGTATGTAGACAATCATGTTGTCTGCAAATAGAGTTTTATTCCTTCCTTCTCAATTTAAATACTTTCTTTGTCTTGTCCTACATCACTTTCTAGGACTTCCAGTATGATATTGAATAGGACTAGTGAAAGTGGACTTCCCTGCCTAGTTCCTGATCATGGTGAGGGAGGGGGATAGCATTTAGTCTTTTACAATATTAGCTGTAGTTTTTTATAAGAGCCTTTGATGATGGAGGAAGTTTTCTTATATCCTAGTTTACTGAGAGTTTTATTATTATTATTATTAATGGATATTGAATATTTAAAAATGCTTTTTCTGCATCTACTGATAAGATTATGTGTTTTTTTTTGTTTGTTTGTTTAGTCTGATTTTTGAATGTTGAACCAGGCTTGCATTTTTGGGATAAACCTTAAATTGGTTGTGATGTATTATTCTTTTTGTATATTGTTGGATTGGATTTGATAATATTTTGTTGAGGATTTTTGTGTCTATATTCTTAAAGGATATTGGTCTTCAGTTTTCTTTTTCATGTGTATTTATGGTGGCCTCATAAAATGAGTTGAGAAGTATTCTCTCTTCTATTTTATGGAAGGTATTGTGTAGAATAGTTATTTATTCTTCTTTAAATGTTTGTTTGAATTTGCTAATGAAACAATCTGGGACTTGAATTTTCTTTTCTGTAAGGTGTTTAACTACAGATGCAATTTCTTTAAAAGATGTAGCTTTATTCAAGTTTTCAACTTCTTGGGTGAGTTATCATAGCTTGTGTCTTTCAATGAATAGATTCATTTTATTTAGGTCGTTGAATTTATGTGACTAGTTGTTCGTAGTGTTCTATTCTCATGTTTAGACTATACTTTTAGTCTCTTTACTGTTACCAAATTTACTTTTAGTTTTCATTTGGATTACTGTTTTGTTTTGCAGTATTGAAACTGCTTTGCTGGAGAAATGTCTTCAGAGTCAGAAAACGATAAAGAGAGGCTGGTTCAAGCTGCCAAAACGTTCTTCTTTCACATAAAAGATCTTACTTTCTTCACAAACACACTGACCGAATTGTTTAACAACAACATGAATACCCAGATCCTCTCGATGGCCGTGAAGGACAATAGTACCATTAAGGATTCCTTTGAACATATGCTCAGAATTTTTAAGGATATGCAATCTGTAGTGAAAGAAAAATACAACGAAATGCAAAAGGAGTCTTTATGTTCCAAGTTTGCATCGGCTATGTGCTCTATGGTTGAGAAGAGTACCAATGTAAAGGAGTTGCAAGAGTCAGCTAAAGAAGTATTCAAAAACGTCCACACACCAGTCATTGTCTCTGTGCTGCATAATGGTAACATCCTTGGGAATTTGGAGTCTTCTCTTTCACTCTTGATGACATTACCCATCATGAATCTTCAATTAAGTGACTTCTATAGGGAAGACAACAAAGAACAATCAGAAGCTACCACATCTCAAAAAACCAAGAGTCCAGGTCCTACCAAAGCCATGAGTCCAGGTCTTTCCAAACCCATGAGTCCAGGTCTTTCCAAGCCCACGAGTCCAGGTCTTTCCAAGCCCACGAGTCCAGCTCCTTCCAAGCCCACGAGTCCAGGTCCCTCCAAACCCGCAAGTCCAGGTCCTTCCAAGCCCACGAGTCCAGCTCCTTCCAAGCCCACGAGTCCAGGTCCCTCCAAACCCGCAAGTCCAGGTCCTTCCAACCCCACGAGTCCAGGTCCTTCCAAACCCACGAGTCCAAGTCCTTCCAAACCCACGAGTCCAGGTCCTTCCAAACCCACGAGTCCAGGTCCTTCCAAGACCACAAGTCCAGGTCCTTCCAAAGCCACTAGTCCAGGTCCTACCCAAACTACGAGTCCAGGTCCTTCCAGAGCCACTGTGGTAGACATCTTGAAAAAGTTGCAGGATGCACTAAAACCCAAGAATGCCAACAATCCCACTGAGTCAGCAGCAGATTTATTGGAACAGATTGTCAAGGATATGGGACCAATCTTAGAGATCCTCCAAAAAGTCACCAACAGTATAGAAACTGATATTTCTATGTCGTTTAAAAAGGTCAATGACAAGTAGGAGTGGAATACTCATTCTGTCAGAAAATAAATTCAAATCTCATGATTTATCATAGTGCTTTCTTTCATCTTTTGATGCCAGATGTGTGGTATGTTAGAACATAAGTGCTGCATAATAGTCATCTGGCAAACCATTTACCTATAGTTTTGCTTTATTAAAATAACAAAGAAATGATCAAAGAAAGTCTGCTTGAAATGGCAATTACTAAGAATATATTGTTGAAAAAAATCAAGGTGTTATTACATTTGAGGATGTTTCTAAATACTATATTTCATCTTAAAGCATAATTTAACCCTAAACTAATTTTGACTCTTAACAATTCTATTTCCAGTTACTGTAGTGTGAAGGAGTCCAGGTAAATATACATTTTATTTATTTATTTATTTTTATTTCAGCATATTATGGGAGTACAAATGTTTAGGTTACATATACTGCCTTTTCCTTACCTGAGTCAGAGTTTCAAGTATATCCATTCCCCAGATAGTGCACACTGCACCCATTAAGTGTGAATATACCCATCTCCCTCCCCAACCTGCTCAACACCAGATGAATGTTATGACTATATGTGCACATAAGTGTTGATCAGTTAGTACCAATTTTATGGTGAGTACATGTGGTGCTTGTTTTTCCAGTCTTGTGATACTAAGTAAATGTAAATATTATCATTAGACAATCTGTTAGATATCTGTTTAGGCCTGGGAACATAAAATAAACTCCATGTTTATCACTTCTATACCAATTTTTATATACTTCACTGCCTTGACTATCATAAGCCATTGCTAAATATTTTTTATATGACCTATCCAGAAGTAAATAAGAACAATGAATGAGCAATAATAAAATTTTCTTTCTTATGTGAATAAGACCAGAGTAGATAGTTCATTCTCATTTGCCTCCTATTGGGGTTTTATGATTAGGAGATATTAGAGGATGAAAAATGGAGGTACTCTAACCTTTCACAGAGAAAAGACCATAATACTTGCAGAAGAAGGATTAGGAAAGTCCATTTGCCTACTGTAAGTCTTTGGCTCTCATGCATCGTAAATGAGTATATACTGTCAAGATTGCCCTTGAAGTTACTATTTCATGTGACAGGAACTTTGTTGAGAATAAGAAAAGCGATAACTCCAAGCCAAGGCTATCACTGACTGTAATTACCATTGTTATTTTAAATAAGGAATCCTCCATCCACCTCCAGACAAATAGTAAGACTTTCAGAATGTTCTTTGGGGATGGTCAAGTAGGTTTTGACCATTTCCAGAGCTCGGAAGTCCTGGAAAAAAATGAATTTCAATATATTAACTCTGTGTTTTCTCTCAGCACCAAAGCTGAAAGCTTGTTCATTTGTAGTGGGTTTCTATTAATAACTGTTTTATTTTTGAGGAGGATCTTGAGCTGATTCATTTGCTACTCTCCCCTTATATATACACTCTCACTTTGCTGCTTTTTCTAAACCTATATGTGTCCAGGGTTTCACTCTCCTTAGTCTTAGGATTGTGCTCCAGGATGTCACAACAGCTAGGAGGATGCTCATGGAGATGATTGAGATGAGGACCAAGAAGAGTTTTGGGGCAGAGTCTTTTGTGAAATGACTGGAAGAATGACTAGTAGTTGTTCAAGCAAGTTCTCACCCGATGACAGTGGGAATGGCAGGTGGGATAGTCCTTTGACGTTAGAGGTACGTGGTGCCCACTTTAATACAGATGAGTGGTCTTCAGGCGCTGGTGGCTCTGGTGAGGCTGGCCATCACTCACAGTCTCTCCCACGTTTTCCCACCACTGGACACCACCAGTCTGCTCACTCTGATAACATCTTGTCTGCTGCTGCTGCTGCTTAGCTTGTGGATGTATTGTGGGAAAGCTCCATTCTCAAGCCAATTACTCTTGTTGAATCTTTCTCTCAAATGCTTTGGTTTTGGGTTCCTCTCATTTTCTCTAAAGTCCTTCAGGTCTTGAAAAACAAAGTGCAACAGACTCATGTGTTTTTGTGTTATGCTTAGTTTCATTCTTCCTCTGAGGCCAGGAGCACAGGATGGCCGAGCTGTTTGAATGAGCATGAGTGGGGAGGAAAAAGTCAACTGCCACAAAACAAAACAACAAAACACAACACAGGATCATTTACTATCAAAAAAAGAAAGAAAGAAAGAACAAAGTCCTATAATATTTGTGTGCCCTTTTTCCTACTTTTTATCAGTTGCCAACATTTGCTGCATCTTGGGATCTCTGAAAGTACCTACCTAGTTCAATAAATGTTTGCTGAATTTTACCAAGTCAGGAATGAACTAGTTTATTCAGTGTAAATCAGTTTGATTCAGATCATTAGACAACCTGATTCCCCAAACAAAATTCTAGTACCTACCTAGTTCAATAAATGTTTGCTGAATTTTGCCAAGTCAGGAAAGAACTAGTTTATTCAGTGTAAATCAGTTTGATTCAGATCATTAGACAACCTGATTCCCCAAACAAAATTCTAGTGAAATTTTCTTTCACTGGATTTTTTGTTTGTTTGTTTGTTTTGTTTTAGAGAAGAGGTCTATGTTGCCCAGGCTGGTCTCAAACTTGTGGGCTCAAGTGATCCTCCCAAAGTGCTAGGATTACAGACCTGAGCCACTGTACCTGGCTGGATTTTTTTTTTTTTAAAGAAAGAGTAAACAGAGAACTTCAGGGCAATCAGATAGGCATATTAGAGAGAACACTGTATTATAAGATAAAAATAAAATATTAAATGGCTACAGAGTAGTTTTGTACACACAAAAAAGAGAGATGCATGTATTTCTTTGATAAAATTACTGTAGGAGATAAAAACTATGCAACCTTATAAAGAATATAGTCTCTTTTAACAATTGTGTAAATTTACACATAATCAAGCATCCATTCTATCTTCAGAAGATATACTGACCCAACAAAGGAGGAGAAATAACAGTAAAATTTCTGAAACTGGTTTCTTATAGTTTCATGAACATGTAACTTAGATTTTGAAGCAACTTAAGTCAATGGCCCCCAGATTTCTTGCTCAAAAACTTGCCTACAGGGAGAGATTGAGGGAATGTAAACTATGTACATTTATCTTTAACCAAAGTCACCTATCTACATAGAATAATTTTAATAGTTTGTGTCTCCAGAGATTCGTCCCATAAAACAGCAGTGAGAAGAGGAAAAACTAAGTTATCTTTTAAAAAACTTGGTCATTCCCTTAAGGATCATAACCACATGAGTTGTACAATATTCTCAAATGCTGGTATGTAGCCAAATCATCTAAAGAGCTTATTAAAACAGATTGCCAGGTTTCTGATTCGGTAGATTTGGGATCAGGCCCTGGAATTCACATTTCTAACAAGGTCTTGAGAGATGCTGATGCTGCCTATGCCTGGGACACATTTTAAGAGTCACCAATTTAGAAGAATTTTATACTCAGAAAACTATGATTTCTCCCGAAGATCAAATGATTTAGGCAGACTCTTTAGCTTCACTAAGTGGCTTCAACTTTCCTCTCCAGCCCACATTACTCCTTCACTCTCTGCCAGGCACATTTACTTCCTGACTCTACGCGGTATATGCATCCATCATTCCTGTCTCCTGCCTCTCATTTCTGCCCCCACCTAAAAAAAGCCTCATCTCTGATAGAAAGCTTTACCTAACTACAGGCCAGAGGAATCTCATTTTTCTCTCAATTGCATGTATGTATTATTTGTACTTGTTTTGGGGACTAAGCCCTTGGCACATAGTTTTTTTTTTTTTTTTTTTTTTTTATTGTTTTTTATCCTTCCCGTCATCCTTTGCTTCCACCCATTGCCTCAAGGTCCAGCTCAAATGCTGCCTCCTAAGTATTCCTGGCTTCTCCTTTTGCCTCAATTAGAAGAAATGTCTCTTTTGAACTCCCATGAATGGAAAACTTGATTTCCCCCTTTCGTTTGGTATTTCCTTTGTGACTTGCTTATGTTCCTAATTTCTTCTAATAGAGTGTAAACTCATGAGAGATCTGACCTAGTGTATTCAACTTTTAATCCCCAAAGTGCTTTGTACATAGCATGGCCCAATAAATGCATTTATAATATATGGCACAGGAAAAACATATGTGCAAGATATTGGGTGACTTTTCCTAACAGGGCATGTCACTGTTGCTTTACTGAGGCTCACTGCAAAGCTTGCTTCGGGAGCTGTGTCCCCAGGACTCTACTACTGGCCTACTGGCAGGCCACCAACCTGCCAAAGATACTATGCAAATCATAGAAATTGTCTGTCTGTCAAAATTCTTTGTTTGCTTTATTGGATGTAGAGCCCAGTGCAGCTAGGTGACAGAGGTGCACTTGGCCCTGTTAGTGTTAAAATCCCAATTTAAAAAATGATATCATATATAGATGCCTGAACTTTCTGCTCGGTGATTTTGTGTAGTTAATTCCCCATTTAGTTTTTTTTTTTTTTTTAGATTATGACACAGACCCTTCAGGAAGTCCTATGGGGAGTAGATGAACTGATCTCCACTTTTTCTGCATATCCCAAATCTCAAAAGAGATAAGAAGCATGGACTTTCAGAACCCAAAGTTATGGAGCTAACCCCATTTAGCCCAATTCTAGGGTCTTTGGAGATCAGGTTAAATAATTCTCCATGTCCCCCCTTAAGTTATATACTATCTAAGGGAAGAGTTGGAGAAGATTTACAACTGTAAGATGCAATACTTTGTACTTTTTTGCATCTCATAGTTTTTACATAATGGCAACTCAATATATCTTTGATATATATTTGCTTGGTAATCAGTTGTTTTTTTCTCCCATCTTCTCTCCTTTATCTTCACACACTTCCACATGTTTTCCTAATACATATACTTACATTTGCTTTGAAGACTTAAAATCAAATTTGCCAACAAGTCCTCTCCAAATTAACACATGATTTTAAATTTTAACTTTTGTAATATCTTAGGAACATATGTGCAACACCCATTATTGGCAATAAATGAGATTTCACTAACATCTTTTCATTAATTTTCCCTTTTATTTCTCGAATTCCCATGTTTCTTTCCATCTGAGACCAACTAGTTTGATCTTAAATGCTGATAAAAATCTTGGAAGAAAATTCACACTTTGATTAGGTCTCTGGGGCTCAAAGCTTTTCCATTTGGCGAACAATTTGTCCTTTGCTTTGTAACTTGATCTTCTTTGATTTGTTCCTATTTAGAATTACTAAATAAAAAATATAAGGGTGAGTCCTTGTATTCAATCAGAACTCCTTCAATTGCTTGAGATAGAGAATCCAATTTAAATTATGTAAGCAAAACCATAATTTATTGATTTATGTAATGAAAAAGGCTTGGGGTATTCAGCTTCAGGCAAAGTTGGATCTAAAAGCTCATACACTCCCATTGGGACTCAGTTTCTTTTCATTTCTCCACTCTTCCTTTATTGCATTAGCACTTTTCTCAGGGATGAGAAATCTCCTTTGCTGGTCGCAGGGTAGCCGCTAGCAGCTATAAGCTCATACCCTGTTTTCATCAATATCCACCCCAAAAAGAGGCTCTCATTTTACTCCCAATCCCAATTCTAAAAAAGCACTCTGATCATATCTCACAGGCTTTGACTGGTTGTTTTCTATTACAGCATGAATCTCCATGTCCACAGAGAAGGAATATACTGGTTGGCTAAGGCCTGAGTTACAGGCCCAGTCATAGGCAGTGGGCTGAGCCAGCTCTGCATTCATTGATAGCTGGGCAGAGTGATTTCTGCAAAGGTATTCAGGGTGCCTTGATTGGAATATGGCTAAAAGGCGTAGGGAAGGCAAAACAGAATTAGCAACGAGGAAACCATGCACTGGTTTCAGCAAAAAGTATGATGGGATCATCCTTCCTGCCAAATAAATTCTCATTTCTTGCCAAAAGGTGAATAAAAAGTTTTCATTTGAATATTAAAAACAACAAAAAAGAGTCCTTTAAACTCCACTTAGGAAAGAGATGATGATACTGGTCAAAAAGGAGAGAGAAGTAATAACTATGGCAGCAGGGGCGCACTTCTTGTTGGCAGCTGTGAAAAACAAAACAAAATGAAACAAAAGTTAGAGATGTTTTAGGTAGCAGGGATTTAAAAAAAAAAACTGCCTCATTTCTCCTTTGATTCACTTATGTAACTTAGAAAATTCCTAATAAAAACATTGGAAGTTAGCTACTTCTTAAAAAATGTTCTCTTAGATCTTTCTAACAGAGCTCAACTTGCTCATTTTGCAGATGATGAAGCAGGCACCAGAAGGTTAAGAGATTTACCGCAGGTTACCCAGCCGGTGGGTGGCAGGCATCTCCTGATTCTCCATCTTAAGCATCACCATCACCATTCCCCCATCTTAACTATCATCATCTTCCTCACCGTGATGAAAGCCAACATCATTAAGTACTTATACTCTGTGCTAGGATCTGTTTTAAGTCCTTGCTCTATATTAACTTATTTAATCCTCCTAACAAATCTATGAAGTATTTATTCTCATTATACTTATTTTTTAGTTGATGAAACTATGACACAGATGTGAAGAAACTTGCTAAACGTCACACACCTAGTAAGTAGTGTAGGCAGCTTTCAAACTCAGGCAGTTTGACTCAACCCTTTGTTCGTAACCACTGTATTGTCTGTCCATATATTGCATGTCCATTGATAGAATTTTTTTTTTTATTAAAAGGTGGGCAAGAAGTATTCACACAGTCGTGCTTGGGGTGTGTGTATGGGTGTGTGTATGTACACGCGCACGTGCACGCATACTGCCTGTACGTACAGATTTTTCTCAGGAAGTTTGGAAATGTTAGCAGCCAGTGAGGTGTGGCTGAAGAAAGCAAAACTGGAAAACAAATATTCTTATCAGATATCACTACTAATAGGGAATACAATGAGATGAGGGATAAGGTGAGACGTGAGATGGAAACCTTCTAAAAATTGCCTCAATAAAGATCAGAATCTCCTTTTCAACCAGTCTACACTGGCCATTTGTTTAGGGTAGGAAGAGAATTAACCCTGATTGCCTCCATATTTGCCCATATTTTATAGAATAAACAGGTGAGAGAGAAATATATCTCCATGATTTTCACATATGAAATCTTTTGAGTTTCCTGGAATTTCTATGTGGAATTTTACATATATATTTATATATGTGTGTGTGTATGTTACATATGTATCAACAGAAATTTTCTTTTCTTTCCTTTTCTTTTTTTTTTTTTTTTTTTGAGACAGAGTCTCGCTTTGTTGCCCAGGCTAGAGTGAGTGCCGTGGCATCAGCCTAGCTCACAGCAACCTCAAACTCCTGGGCTCAAGCAATCCTGCTGCCTCAGCCTCCTGAGTAGCTGGGACTACAGGCATGCGCCACCATGCCCGGCTAATTTTTTCTATATATATTAGTTGGCCAATTAATTTCTTGCTATTTATAGTAGAGACCGGGTCTCGCTCTTGCTCAGGCTGGTTTTGAACTCCTGACCTCGAGCAATCCTCCCGCCTTGGCCTCCCAGAGTGCTAGGATTACAGGCGTGAGCCACCGCACCCACCTGAACAGAAATTTTCAAAACTCCATTTTTTACCAATAAGAGTAAGCAAAGAAAAATTAATAGAGCATACATCTTTCTAAACTTTTGTCATAGTTTGTGCTAAGATTGTATGATCTGAATCCCCACAAAGACCTGCGTCATTTTAGCCTAGGTCAATCATTAGAATGGTTCTCAAACATTTTTGGTTTTGTTTTTTCCTTCATTGAGGCTAGATATTATAAGGACCTTCAGCTCCATACTTTCCCACTTTTTTAATCGGATAAGATTCTACTGAAGAGTGTTATCAGAAAATATTGATTGACAGAGCAGCAGAATAACAGAAGGATGGTTTTTGGAGGTAATTAGCTTTGATGTTGAAGCTCTGACCCCAGCTGTTTGACCTTGACCAGGTTAATTCCTTTCATCAAGCCTCAGTTTTCTCATCTGTAAAATGAGAGCATCTCAAAAATACTATTATCACTACCACTATTACTATTACTACTACTACCACTACCACCACAACCTCTAACACTTACACAGAGTTTGCTATGCATCATATACAGTAATAGACACACTTACCAATGTAATCCTCATAACAACCTTATGAGATCGATGCTTTTATCTCTATTTTGCAGATGAAGAAAAGTGAGGCAAGGAGAGCTTAAGGATCTCTGTTAGGTCACACAGGAAATGGCAGAGCCAGTATTTAACTTAGAGAGTCTAACTCAAGAAATCATATGTTGAACTTTCTGGAATGTAAACGTCAATTGTCAGTCATTCATTGTATCTGACCTATCAACCATGACTTTATCATAGCGAATCACTTCTTCCTCCTTGATATGTACTCTTTGCTCCTGGGTCACCAGCTCTCTTGGTTTTTCTCCTCCCTCGCTGGCCCTTCCTTCTCAGTCTTCTTTGCTCCCGATATTTTAAAATTGGAGTGTCCTGGGGTTCGGTCCTGGGACATCTTCTCTCCTTTATTTACACACTTTTGTTCAGGGCTCACCAAGTCTTATGGCTTTAAATATCACCCATATCCCACTGACTCCAAATTTTTATTTCCAGCCTGGGTCACTCCCCCAAATTCCAGACTCATACATCCAACTGTCCACTCAATATCTCTCCTGGGGTGACTATTCTCAACTGTAATAAGTAAAGAGGGAATAAAAACTTTTGAAGAGAGAGTCTAGTGGAAAACTAAAGAAAAAAACAAAAGTAAAAATAATATGAGGTATCCTTGGATAAAAAGTTTTTTAGAGATAGAAGTCATGGTTGATAGGTCAGATACAATGAATGACTGACAATTGACGTTTACATTCCAGAAAGTTCAAATATGATTTCTTGAGTTAGACTCTCTAAGTTAAATACTGGCTCTGCCACTTCCTGTGTGACCTAACAGAGATCCTTAAGCTCTCCTTGCCTCACTTTTCTTCATCTGCAAAATAGAGATAAAAGCATCGATCTCATAAGGCTCTTATGAGGATTACATTGGTAAGTGTGTCTATTACTGTATATGATGCATAGCAAACTCTGTGTAAGTGTTAAGAGGTTGTGGTGGTAGTGGTAGTAGTAGTAATAGTAATAGTGGTAGTGATAATAGTATTTTTGAGATGCTCTCATTTTACAGATGAGAAAACTGAGGCTCGATGAAAGGAATTAACCTGGTCAAGGTCAAACAGCTGGGTCAGCTTCAACATCAAAGCTAATTACTCCAAAAACCATCCTTCTGTTATTCTGCTGCTCTGTCAATCAATATTTGATAACACTCTTCAGTAGAATCTTATCCGATTAAAAAAGTGGGAAAGTATGGAGCTGAAGGTCCTTATAATATCTAGCCTCAATGAAGGAAAAAACAAAACCAAAAATGTTTGAGAACCATTCTAATGATGACCTAGGCTAAAATGACGCAGGTCTTTGTGTGGGATTCAGATCATACAATCTTAGCACAAACTATGACAAAAATTTAGAAAGATGTATGCTCTATTAATTTCTTTGCTTACTCTTATTGGTAAAAATGGAGTTTTTGAAAATTTCTGTTCAGGTGGGTGCGTGGCCCACGCCTGTAATCCTAGCACTCTCGGAGCCAAGGCGCGGGGATTGCTCGAGGTCAGGAGTTCAAAACAGCCTGAGCAAGAGCGAGACCCGTCTCTACTATAAAATCAAGAAATTAATTGGCCAAAATATATATAGAAAAATTAGCCGGGCATGGTGGCGCATGCCTGTAGTCCCAGCTACTCAGGAGGCTGAGGCAGCAGGATTGCTTGAGCCCAGGAGTTTGAGGTTGCTGTGAGCTAGGCTGATGCCATGGCACTCACTCTAGCCTGGGCAACAAAGCGAGACTCTGTCTCAAAAAAAAAAAAAAAAAAAAGAAAGGAAAGAAAAGAAAATTTCTGTTGATACATATGTAACATACAACACACCACATTATAATATAATAATGTAAAATTCCACATAGAAATTCCAGGAAACTCAAAAGATTTCATATGTGAAAATCATGGAGATATATTCTCTCCTCACCTGTTTATTCTATAAAATATGGGCAAATACGGAGGCAATCAGGGTTAATTCTCTCCTACCCTAAACAAATGCCAGTGTAGACTGGTTGAAAAGGAGATTCTGATCTTTATTGAGGCATTTTTAGAAGTTTCCATCTCACGTCTCACCTTATCCCCCATCTCATTGTATTCCTATTAGTAGTGATATCTGACAAGAATATTGTTTTCCAGTTTTGCTTCCTTCAGCCACACCTCACTGGCTGCTAACATTTCCAAACTTCCCTGAAAAAAATCTGTATGTACAGGCAGTAGCGTGCACGTGCGCGTGTACATACACACACCCATACACACACCCCAAGCACGACTGTGTGAATACTTCTTGCCCACCTTTTAATAAAAAAAAAATTCTATCAATGGACATGCAATATATGGACAGACAATACAGTGGTTACGAACAAAGGGTTGAGTCAAACTGCCTGAGTTTGAAAGCTGCCTACACTACTTACTAGGTGTGTGACGTTTAGCAAGTTTCTCACATCTGTGTCATAGTTTCATCAACTAAAAAATAAATAGAATGAATATACTTCATAATTTGTTAGGAGGATTAAATAAGTTAATATAGACAAGGACTTAAAACAGATCCTAGCACAGAGTATAAGTACTTAATGATGTTGGCTTTCATCAGGGTGAGGAAGATGATGATAGTTAAGATAGGGAATGGTGATGGTGATGCTTAAGATGGAGAATCAGGAGATGCCTGCCACCCACCGGCTGGGTAACCTGCGGTAAATCTCTTAACCTTCTGGTGCCTGCTTCATCATCTGCAAAATGACAAGTTGAGCTCTGTTAGAAAGATCTAAGAGACATTTTTTAAGAAGTAGCTAACTTCCAATGTTTTTATTAGGAATTTTCTAAGTTACATAAGTGAATCAAAGGAGAAATGAGGCAGTTTTTTTTTTTAAATCCCTGCTACCTAAAACATCTCTAACTTTTGTTTCATTTTGTTTGTTTTCACAGCTGCCAACAAGAA